ATGAGGGGCTTTCCCTTGGGAGGTCCAGACCGCAGGCTGCGGGTGGATTTTGCCAAAGCAGAGGAGACTCGGTATCCCCAGCAGTACCAGCCCTCACCCCTCCCTGTGCATTACGAGCTGCTCCCAGATGGATACACCCGGCACCGAAACCTGGATGCCGACCTGCGGGTGAGGGATAGGACCCCCCCACACCTCCTTTACTCAGACCGAGACCGGACCTTTTTGGAAGGGGACTGGACCAGCCCCAGTAAAAGCTCTGACCGCCGAAACAGCCTCGAGGGCTACAGCCGCTCAGTGCGCAGCCGGAGTGGTGAGCGCTGGGGAGGAGATGGGGACCGGGGCCTGCCCAAGCCCTGGGAGGACAGGCGGAAGCGCCGGAGCCTTTCCAGTGATCGTGGGAGGACAACCCACTCCCCTTATGAGGAACGGAGCAGGACCAAGGGTGCTGGGCAGCTTGTGGACCGAGGCTCTGACCGCACCCCTGAGCGCAGCCGCAAGGAAAACCATTCCAGTGAAGGGACCAAGGAATCGAGCAGCAACTCCCTCAGCAACAGCAGACACGGGGCTGAGGAGCGGAGCCACCACCACCATCATGAGGCTCCAGACTCTTCCCACGGGAAGAAGACTCGGGAGAGCGAGCGCAATCATCGGACCACTGAGGCTGAGCCCAAGCCTCTTGAAGAGCCAAAACACGAGACCAAAAAGCTCAAGAATCTTTCAGAGTATGCCCAGACACTGCAGCTAGGTTGGAATGGGCTTCTAGTGTTGAAAAACAGCTGCTTCCCGACATCTATGCACATCCTAGAGGGGGACCAGGGGGTTATCAGCAGTCTCCTCAAAGACCACACTTCTGGGAGTAAGCTGACCCAGCTGAAGATTGCCCAGCGCCTTCGACTGGACCAGCCCAAGCTCGATGAGGTCACACGACGCATCAAGCAGGGGAGCCCCAATGGCTACGCCGTGCTCCTAGCCACACAGGCGACCCCCAGTGGGCCTGGCACTGAGGGGATGCCCACGGTGGAGCCAGGCCTACAGAGGCGGCTTCTCAGGAACCTGGTCTCTTACTTGAAACAGAAGCAGGCTGCAGGGGTGATCAGCCTGCCAGTGGGTGGGTCCAAGGGCAGAGACAGCACGGGCATGCTCTATGCCTTCCCTCCCTGCGACTTTTCACAGCAGTACCTCCAGTCAGCACTGAGGACATTGGGAAAGCTAGAGGAAGAACACATGGTGATAGTTATAGTAAGAGACACAGCCTAGCCTGAACCGTCTTTTCCACAAAAGCAGTTATTTTAAGATCTGACCCCCACCCCCACCCCCCGCCTTCCCCCCAACTCCAAAACTTACCCCCTTGGTTTGAATTCTCTGCTGCTTTATTTCGGTTCATTTGGTAGGGGACCAAAGTCCTCCCCCACCAAAACTAAATTCTTAGGTTTTGGGTTGTTTTTTTTTTTTTTAACAGTGATGAGAAAAATGAGAAGGGACTCCTGTCTTGTTGGTTTCTAGTGTATGAGATAATGTCTGCTGTGTTCTGTATTTTTTTATTTTTTGACTAACTGTATGGAAAGTTGTCAGTAAAGCCTTTGTCAGAGGATGGATTTTTAATCCTGTTCAGAGTCCTGGTTTAATCAAGTTTTTTTTTCTCAAAGGATGGAAGACTTCCCTGCTGCATGCACACAAATGCCCTACGTCATCTTTCCACCACTGGGGTAATCTCACAGTCCTCCTGCATTGGTGGGTCTCAGCCCCTCAGCTCTTAGGGCTGAATCAGGACTTTACTCACATTTGTTTTTTATCTTGGCTGAGAGCAGGTGGGTTTCATTTTGGACCCTGCCATGCCAGATTGAGCAGAGCCCATGCACAGGAAGGGGTTGAGCCTAAGTCTAGCCAGCAGCTGTGGTAGTTTTTTGTTTTCTTGCCCTAAACAATGTGTGTGTCCATCAGTTTGAGCTGTAGCTGTTGAACAAAGCACCTAGTCTTCAGGCCTTTTTGAAAGCACGTAGACCTTAGCAGTTGTGTGGTCTTGTAGTCATGGGAGGAGCAGTGCAATATTGGGGTCTTGGTACCATGGATCCGTGAGGCCTCCTTTTCTTGTTCAGCCTCCCTTCTAGCCTTAATGCAGCAGCCCAGGGATACCCAGTTGCAGACAGCTGCCTCGGACTCCAAGGGACAGTGGAGGCCAAATGCTGGAATGGAGAGTGGGAGGCAGCTTTCCTTGGTTAATTCTTGAAACTTTCCCGGTGTTTGTGAATTCTGGCTTTTCCTTTGATTGTTCGGGGCTGATGTGTCAATGGAGTGGGCCTCTGCCCAGTCACTAGAGCTTTGTGAGGGACACTGAATCCCTGGCCTGAAGAGTTTTTGAGGTAGTACAGTGGGTTAGGAAAATGCTCTTGTTAACTGACATAACTTTCCCAGATACAAGTAGGCACTTATGCCTAGGCCTCTTGCCCTGATGTTGCAGAGGTGGGGACCACTGGGAGAGAGGTGCTTCTGTGGGGAAATGTCACAGTTGCCGAGGTGTTGGGCAGTGCTAGAGCTCACAGCCATTCAAGCTGAGCTGCGGAGGAATGTGGAGGCATCAAGCTGGGAGGGAAAGATGGCTTGAAGTTCTGTGGCCACGCATCTCTACTAAGACAGTATGGCCAGCATTGGCAGATGAAGCCAGCAGTGTCAGGGACCAGGGAGGGATATCAGTCACACAGCAGTTGTCACCATAGAGCACAGCCCAAACCCTATTTTTCAGAATGTTTGTGGCAGTTTAGATGTTTTAAAAGGACCATTGTCAAGGCTGAGGGAGAACAGAAGCTCCAGTAAGGGAAATGAGCCCCCAAATGACCAGGAACTCCGGATTCTGTTGACCGTGCTGTCCTCTCTCTAGGTCTGGTCCACTACCCTGGCTGGCACGAGGCAGCGCAGGTGACAGCTGGGATGTGTTGAGAGAGACAGTTCGTGAGATGGAGGCGGGGGCTCAGTGCGGACCTCATGGACAATACATGCCTCTCCACAAGGACAGTGAAAGAGGTGACTTTTTGAGACCTTAGAGATTTAAAATAAACAGGGCAAGGAAGGCGCCTGGGGAGGTACTGCACTAGGCTTCAGCTGGTACTCGTGAGAGAAAATGCATGTTCATAACAAACACAAGAAGTGTTAAATGTGTTTATTTGCCTGTTTGTACTTGAGCTTTGGCCACAACTGCCAGGTATCTGAGCAAAGCAGTGCGAGGCACAGTAGGCCACAGCTGCACCATTCCAGGCAGTTGGAACCACCAGTGACCAGAGCCGCCTTGCTGTATTAAGCCCAAAACTTCTCTGGGCTGTTCCTTCATAGAGTGGGTGCTCAGGACCCAGAATACTACACCTCCTAGTTTTCCCAGACAGAAACCTAGAAAGTCTGGCTGGAGAGGACACTTAAACCCTTGCTTTGTTAACCTGTCTTGAGGGATAGGTGCTTTCTGGCCCCAAATTGAACTACAGAGTTTTCCTGCTGTGTGACCATCCTCCTCTTCCTTGGACCCTCTTCTCAACTCCTTCCTTCCTCTCTTTAAGACAGCAGCTTCTGTAACGTCTCTCAGAAAGGCCTTGGCCAGCACTAGCAAGGGTAGGTCAGGTGGTCAAGCCCCTGGTTGATTTATGATGCTGCCCTCAGAGAGAGAACTATTTAACTGCAGGCAACCTGTGCCTCCACCTGGGGTTCAGGTTCTATCTAAGGTGTGGCTTAAAGGCAAAAATCAACCTAAGGCGAAATTTGCCTCATTGGCGGTTTGCTACTATTCCGCGTGTTTCTTCCTAAGTGACTGAGATCATGAGCCCTGCCTGGCAGATAAAGAGAGCTGATGTTTCCTTAGCCTCTTAGGGCACTTCCCTAAGGGAGTGTTGTCAAGTTGAACAGGAGTGTGCTTTCTTATTGCAGGTCCCCATCTCCACCCAAGAGACCTGTGGGTGTTCCCAAGAGCTGCTGGCAGAGTTCAGGGAGACTGGCTCTGCTCAGTTAATGACTAGAATACAATGCATTTAGTGCTTCTTGACTTTTAACCTGTTTTCTTCTAATGCACCAGCAGTCAAACTAGTCCACTGGTTAGGTGTTAGCAGTTCATTTAAGCTGAGGCATGAAGCAACCTAAGAGCTGAGACCTCTGCTCTCTAGAGGACCAAGAGGTGCCTGTGTGTGACACAGGACCAACCACTTCAGTGTGTGTGATGAACTGTATGGTGCTCTGAAGCCCAGCAGGGCTTCACCAGCCCCTGGTGAGTTTTAGCCGTCTTGTCTTGCTTATTTACTTACAAATTTGTCCTCTTAGCAAAGGGAGAAAAGTCTCTTTAGCTATAAATACCTATATGATAGGAACCGGGCAAACTCGAAGAAAGAGACTAGGGTCTCCTATTTATTGTGGGTAAGAAGGGGGTGGGGTGGGGTGGGGTGAGTGAAAAGGTAAACGCATCTGGTACTTTCCCTGGTGGTAGCAGTTTAACCATAGGCCAGTTGTAGAGGCTGTGAAATACCTGCAAACCCAGCCTGACCAAGGCCTAGCTGCCCCTAAACTGCCAAAACTGAAGAACTGCCCAGGTCTACTGTTGTACTCCCTTCAGAAAACAGTAATGACAGTCAGTCACCCAACTACAGGGATGGCCAAAATGCTTTCACTCCCTAGCTTTGCCAGCTCATTGCTCCACAACCTCCCAGGACCCCTAACGTTCCAGCTCCACCAAATCTACTCTGGAGCTGCCTTCTTGCTTCAGAACCCGGGATAGAGAGAGGCGTGCGGAGTGGACAGTGCCCTGAGCACCTGCCTCTGCCCCCTGCCCAGTCCTCCTCGGGGCGAGCAGCAGACCAGGGTTAGATGCTGTGACTAAGCTGCTTTTCTCCCCAGAGTGCTTTATTTGGGCAGAACGTGTTCTCACCCCGTCCTGGGCTGCCTCTCTTGGAAGGCGTCTTTATTGCCTGGCTAGAGCTACAAGGAAAGGGACAGACCCCACTTTGGTAAAAGAGAACAGGGAAAGGCCATAAACAAAGACAGACTTGTAGTTTATTTTGTATTTTTTTTAAATAAATACACTTTACATTAAAAGGCCTTTGATTTGTACTTTCCACATTGGGGAGAAAGGGAAGAAAAAAAGATTTTTGAAAAACTGAATCACAAAGAAAAATAGAGGGAGTGAACTTATATCCTAAGTTCCCTCAACTCCACAAAAACCAATATCCACAATGACCTTGCTGCCCGCCCCCCCACCAAACCATGAAGGTGGGTAAGCCTAGGCATTTACTCAGCAAACAAGCAGCACCTCCTCCCCACCTCTGGCACAAAGGAAAACAAATTAACCTGACAGCATATGAGGCAACAAAACAGGTTTAAAAAATCATATATTATATTTATAATAAAATATTCTTAATCCTTATCAATTTAAGAAACCACGGTTTTCCTTTTCATTTAAATACGTATGTAAAAATGCCTCTATTGTTATTTAGACATCATTTTCTTCCATAGAAAATGAACTGCAGGGACAAGAGACCTGGTGGATATAAGTTCATACCCTCAGTTATAAATGCCTTTTTTTTTTCTTTTTAAGTTTTATAAAAAACTATTTCTTGTTCTTTAAGTAAAGAACATTATACAAAGAAAATATATTGTGAAATAACCCCAGAGACGTGTTGGTTTTTTTTCCCCCTTGAGGAAAGATATGTCCATCCTAGGAGAAGGGGGAAGCAGAATAGGGCCTAACCCCTGTTGTCTTTTTTTTGTGTGGTTATTGTTTTTAGAAGGACTCTCAGATTCCAGTGAGACTCTAAATCATAATCCTCTGAATGCAGGGCATGCAGTTCCTTAAAAGAGCCCTGGGAGAAAGGGAAGGGAAGATGTTTTGAATTCATTTGACTCAGTTTCTCGCCTGCCAAGAATCTCTTCCACGTGGTGATGGCTCCTCACTCATTTAGAGATAAGATGATGTCATCTTCCAAATCAGAGTTGTCAGAGCTGTCGGCTGAAAGGTAAGGAAAGGGAGAGACTAGATTACGCACTAGGCTTGTAGGAAGCTTTCAGGGAGAAAGCACCTGCATACACATAAATTTATGCCTGAGCATGGTTAATTACCAGTTTCCTGAAAGAAGAAAACATGTCAATTAACTCCTCGGAGCTGGCTCTGGAAAATATACTGTTTGGGCAATGATGGTTACTCCTGGGACCTCTTGCTTGCTTACCTTTCAAAGGACCTGGACATGGTACCCTCTTGCTTCCTAGAGGTTCTTCCTCCTGCCTGAAAGGCCCTAAGGGGACCAGGCAAGCCCCCTCTGAAGCTTTCGCCCATGGTGCTTTGAGTGGCTGCAAAGGGGCAGGGCTGATAGGAGCAGTGAGTGAGCCTGTGTAGTCCTTTGGCCTCTGGAGTCCCTCCGGTGGGCACAGGCCTGCCTGACCCCCCAGGACCACTAAAAAGGCAGGCTGAGCCCAAGCAAGGATGAGACTTCTCTTAAATTCGTCAGCCACTCTTCTCAGAAGACCTCATAAAGGCAGAGGTAGTCAACCTGGGATTCATTCCTCTGAAATTTCTAAATATAATCTGAAGGGAAAAAATTCCCAAAAGATACAAGCCAGAGCTTGCAGCAATACGAGAAAAACTGGGCTGGAGGCCAGCAGGGAGTAGCTGTGGCACCCTGGAAGGTGGCACTGTGTCTGACCCTCTGCTTGACCATCTGCCTTCCAGGCAGTGAATAGACCACATGAACACCTCTGGAAGGATCCATTAAGAGGTGAAACTAGGTGGTAACAGAAAGAACCCTCAAAGTGAGGTAGATGCACCTGTCTGGATGACAGAAATCGGAGAGAAACACAGTACCTAGCTCTAGTATTTGCTGAGTGAAGGTAAAGGAAAAATTCTAGTGCCCATTTTGATCACTCTCAGCTTAGGAAGCTGTGAAACAATTTTAACAAGGTCCCCAGGGAAATGGGCCAGCAGGTCCTGAGCTGGAGCCCTGAAAATGCCCATAGGCCCTGGGGTTCCCATGAGGAGAGGGACAGCCACTGGTTCCAAAGAATCCCTCATCAGCCCTTTCCCACGTACCTGAGAGACTCCACTCGGGGAAAGCTGATGAAGAACTGCATGTTCCCAAACCTTCCATTCACTACAATCTCCTTTAGGAAGAAAACTGAAGTGGATAAAGTAAAACCAAGAAAAGCATGGCCGTGATAAAATGAAGTCCTGAAGGTAAGCAAAAGTGATGGCTGGAAAAACCAGTGTTCCTGGGTCTAACAGGGCACAAGCATGGCTTGACTTTATTGGTGAGGAGTAGGGAAAACAAGATGGAGATCAAACTAATACCTGACACCGCTAAACCACAAACTAAGCCTCATCAGCTTCCTTGCTGAGAACTCCAGGAGGAAGTGAGCAGGGAAGGGGGTGACTCAGGCACAGCACTGTGTCCAAGGCCCATGGCAGACTGCAGAGAATCCCCTCATGCTCATGCGATCTATGAACCAACACTGCCACACCCACCTGCCTGAGACCTATTCTAACCATCAGCTGTAGAGCTACTAAGAATTAAGAATCTTAACAACTCTGCATCACACCCAAGGACTGTAAATGCAGCTGGAGGAGGATAACACAATCTTCCATAAGCAAATAATTGTCAGGCACAGGGTTTAACAGAGAACTTTCAGGGGTCAGGGGTGGTCAGGTGGCAGGACTCCCTTCTCTACCTTCCTTAGACTTTTCTCATCCTCCAAATGTTGAAGAGACCCGAACTCAGACCCTGGTGGGGACCTCTCCCTCTGAAAGGCCCTGGAAGCAAAGGCAGTCAGTGTTAGTCCCTACCATGTTTATTTAACCTGTTGCTCTACAACATACAGGCTTTTGGGGTGGGGGGGTCAGAACTGACTGGAAAGAGAAACAAAGACCTCAGAGTCAAGGTGTCTCTCTTCCTAGGGCTGGGGTTCTGTATATGAAATCGATCATTGGATCTCTGGGATCTGGGGCTTATGCAAGGTTACATGGGGGGCATGTGGGTGTGGTTTTCTATAGTTACAACAGCTTTCGTCATATCCTAAAAGGGCTCCACAAACCCCAAAAGGTTAACAGCTAATACACCAGATGATGAGTGTAAGGCAAAATATCAGCAAACCAAGGATACGGAGGGTGGTCCTTGTGTCTGCTCTGTTTCGAGCCGCTATCAGTCTCTGTAAAACAGAGAAAGCAATAGAGTACATATGCTGCACATGCCACCACCTCAGTTCTAGAGCCCAAACTGACATGTCCTCAACTTGTCATCTATAATGGCACTTTCACATCATAAATATTCCCACCAAGTTAAAGTAACATTCTCTGATAGAATTAGGGTTTTCCAGATTACCTCTTGGGCTTAAAAGAATGAATTTCCTAGAATAAACAGTAAAAGGCTATAAAGGAAGCAGTAATTTCACAGGCCAAATACAAAATTAATTTATATTCAAACGGAGAATGGAAAAATTAGTGATACTCTTAGGTCGGGGGTACCAGCTGCTCCCCTAACCTACCTTATATTACTTAAAATTGAAGGGGAAACAGAACTTGTGCCCACGTGTCACAGGTGACAAAGAAGTTTAGTAAAACTTCCCTTTTTATTCCCATCAATATTGTCATGTTTCCCTTGCCCCTGAGTCCCTCTTACCCGGCTCTCTGACCATCGCTAGGGACAAAGGAAATCCTCCTTCAATGAATCATCTCAACCTCCAAGTACCAAAAAATGGAAGTTGGCAAACAGCAGATGGGCAGATACAAGGCAATCCCTCCCACCCCACAGAGCTTCCTCAAAATGCAACTTTGGCAAGAGGACTTAGGTAAGAAAGTCAGTCTCCCCTAAGCCAACTGCCTTCAATCTTGAGCTCTAGAAGCAAGTATAAGATTTATCCCAAAGTAAATGGATTTAGGTCACTGTGGAACAGGAGAATCTTATATGCTTAAATATATATACTGCCACCCACCCTCTCCTCTCCTACCATACATACACACTCCCTCCCTCCCACTGCCCCCAACACCAAACACCAATGACTAAAAACCAAGCATCTACTCTGAAGAGGCTTGGAGTTTGCTGAGCTTAGGCCAATACAATAACATTTTCCGTAATGATGTAAATGTTCTACATCTGTGCTGTTCAATATGGTAGCCACATGTGGCTACTGAGCACTTGAAATGTAGACATGAAAATGAGGGACTGAATTTTAAATTTAATTAAAATTCTAATGGCCACAGGTGGTTACTGGCTACCATATTAGGCATAATACCTACCTTGGCTGTGAGAATGCTGGCCAGGTTAGCTACATGAAAAATGACTGAATATCACAGTGCTTACTCCCCAGTCAGGCAGGGCAGCACTAGGAAGAACCAGGACCACAGCAAGCATGAGTCTGTCAACAGTGACACAGGTCACAGTGATGCTGCCAAATATGTCCTCTTAAAAAACATGCAGAGTATAGCAGCAGAGCTCGCAGACTCTTAGAACTATTAGGTGATGTACTCAGGGTCCATTAGTATAGGCAGGGGACAACTTGACTTCAGAAACCTGTTCTAATGGGAAGGTACTGGAAAAACTGGAGCTTGTTCTTCAAAACTTGGAATAGGAAAGGGGGGTGGGGGGGAAGGAACAAAACAGAAGCCAAAGAGAAACATCTGTTCCCTGGCCTTTAAGAGGGATTAAGCAAAAGCAGGCAGGAAGGGGCTGCAACCCACAAGAGGGCTTTTATTTCTTTACAACTTTAGAAAAGAGCAGGTACAGCACCCCCATGAGCGGCTGCATCTGATGATGTCAGCTCTGCCTCTTGGGAGAACTACACTTTTGCCCTCCAGTCTAAAGCTAATCCTCTGAAGCAGGGGTCGACAAACCTACAACCCATGGGCCAAACCAAGACCACCGACTATTTTTGTAAATAAAGTTTATTAGGACACAGCCACATCATTAATTTATGTCTTGTCTCTGGCTGCTCTCACACTACAACAGCAAAGCTGAGTAGCTGCAAAAGAGACCATTCAGCCCACAAAGCCAAAATTATTTACTGTCCAGCCTTTGTAGAAGTCTGCCAACCCCTGTTTTAAAGAGATAATAGCCATTTGGTTACAGAGTCGTCATGACAGGAGCACTGAGGATGAGAGATGTGAAACTGCTTTTCCTTAAGGGCCCAGGTGGTGACTCTAGTTAATGGGGCACAGAACCCTGGTGTGGCTTGCCCGCTGGGCTGGCACAGGGAAGGGCCCTTTCCCTAGGTACCCAAGCCCAGCCTCGTGGTCAGCCCTAGACTTACTGTCCCCCAGGATCAGTTCCACTTCCTCATCTGCATCAGAGTCTTCATCTTCTCCATCCTCTCCCTCCTCTAGCAGGTTTGCTAGCTCCTCATCAGAGGGAGAAAAGTCATTGTCGCCATCCTCCCCTGCGTTCTCATTGTTGTCATCCTCCTCCAACTCCGCCTCCAGCAATTGGTCAGTGTCAAGCTCATCTAAATCATCAGTGTCGTCATCATCTTCATCGTCATCTTCTTCCTCCTGTTCTTCCTCTTCCTGGTAAGACAGCATGAGGTCCATTAGGACAAACACAGAGACCCAGCCCATGTGGGCCACCTGGGGAGTCCCTCTCCTCCTCAAAGGACAGAGGAGGTAACAGTCAGTAGAGAGCATGGTAATCTAGGTTAGCACACACTTCATGGGCCAGCTTGACTCGTCAGTGAAGGCTGAGACAGGCACATACATGTCCCCCAAGACACTCAAGCGTGTCCCCCAAGACACTCAAGCACTCCTCAGACAAGGACTACTGGTCACTCCACAAAGGCATTACTGGTCATGCAGCCCTTATCTAAGGAAATGGACAACACACTTCACAGAGGTCTCTGCCATCAACATTCTATGTTTCTAACTAATAATAAACCCCAAAGGGCTCTTCTCTCTATCCTGTATCAACCAAACCAAATGAAATCACTTGAGGCACTGGAACTAAAGCTTCTACCTGGAATCTAAAAAGCAGTGCTTTAATAAAACAGGAAGAACACAGCTGCTGAGTCACCAGCTCCTAAGCCCTTCAAATTCTTGTCCTTGATCTTATTTATAACCATGTATGTGAGTCAGCACCTCTGACGGTGCTATCACAAGCATCCAATGATCTGAATGTCCAACAAAATAGACTTTTACCACTAAAGAGATACTTGCATTTTCTGTTACAAGCCACACACACACCAAAAAAGTATGGTAGAGAAATTGTCCAGCCTTCTGTTCCCTCCAAACTGTTTTCCTTCAAGCAAGAGAGGACACGACGACATCTCTTTGCTTTCCTAAGAACGACAGGTGTTCCCAAGTTAAAGTGACCAACATTCAGTCACTAATCCTTCTGCTCAAACATCAACTGTCAGCACTGCCAGTAGCAAAAGGATTCTAATTCCTGCAATAATAAAATATAAAATTCATTTAACACACCAGCCTAATAAAAGTCAAGACAAAACAAGCCCTACATTAGCAGAAAAAATCTTTAAAAACATTTTGGAAGTGCTTTAAAAAAAAGGGGGGGGGGGATTTCCCCAGTGGAACAGTGGTTAAGAATCTGCCTGCCAATGCAGGGGACACAGGTTCGATCCCTGGTCCGAGAAGATCCCACATGCCACGGAGCAACTCGTGCACCACAACTACTGAGCTTGCAAGCCACAACTACTGAAGCCCGTGTGCCTAGAGCCCATGCTCCGCAACAACAGAAGCCACCACAATGAGAAGCCCGCGCTCACCACCACTAGCAAAAGCCTTGGCGCAGCAACAAAGACCCAACACAGCCAAAAAAAAAAGTGCTGCCGCGTGCCAATCACTTAAAAACCAAACACTGCTTATCCAGCCACTAGTGTTCATCAGCTGTAAAGTAAACTAGGCTCATATTCATCAGGGTAGCTCTGCTTTATGAACTTTTGATAATTTTGGAACCACCATTTAGAGGCTTTTTGGTTTGCTGTTTGACCCACTGATTTAGACTTTCCAACAATTTCTGGCAGCTACGTGGGAATAACTGGCCCCTTTAAATACCCAGTATTCCTAATGCCTGTACAAGTATGTGTCCACACCAGAGTTTATGTGTGCGCGTGTGTGTGAATGTACCGCCATGATAACCTGAGACCACTGTTCCACAGCCTGGCCACACATGACCTCCATGTGGACAGCTACTAAGCATCTGCCCACTGGAAAGGTAACTGAGAATGCCTGAAGGCAGTAACAATAAACTGACGCACAGACAAGCTTCTGGCCCTACAAATACATCAGCTCGTACAAATAACAAGGGAAAAGAGAGAGGAATCAAAATTCAGGGAAATAATTCAAAGTATTTACCAGATTACAACTTTTGCCCTTTTTTTCCACACGTTTTCAGGGATCTGACCAAAATTAGTTCTAATTAATAAAGTTCCTTCAGTTAAAAAGAAGCACATTAAAAAGAGTATCCAGGGCTTCCCTGGTGGCACAGTGGTTGAGACTCCGCCTGCCGATGCAGGGGACATGGGTTCGTGCCCCAGTCCGGGAAGATCCTACATGCCGCGGAGCGACTGGGCCGCTGAGCCTGCGTGTCGGGAGCCTGTGCTCCGCAACGGGAGAGGTCACAACAGTGAGAGGCCCGTGTACCGCAAAAAAAAAGAGTATCCAGGGCCCTGTGTTTCTTAAGCCTCTGTGGAATAGAATAATTACATGAAGATAGTGTTAATTATTTTTATTTTTGATTCTGAAGTTAATTTAGTACACAGTTATTGATATATACACTCATCATTGTTTTCGGAGTATGGGATAGGAGAAAATGCCCAGGCTTTGGGATCCAACAAGCCTGGGTTAGAATCCTGGCTCTGCCAATTACATGCTGTATGAACTTGGGCAATTTACATACATTTTCAATGTCTCAGGATAGAATAACTTTTAAAGGCCCACAGTTGAGTATGTAAAAGGCTAAACTGTTCAAACAGGCACCTGTTAGCCAGCAAATTTAAGGAACATTGTTCTTCATTTCTAAAAACATCAAAACTTAGCTGATCCAGGAGAACTAAGAAAAAGCTCCAAAGTCAAGAGCAATCCTAGAAAATAGGTCAACCAGGGTCTAAGGTTTGAACTACAGATACCATTCCAAATTCTTCCAGAAGCCTACTTTTACTTAATCTTGTAGCAGAAGAAATAATTTATATTTATTCATCCCAGAAGGCCATGATGACATATGTGACAACAGGAGAAGGGAAATGAATAGGAAGGGGAGACCTACCTGAATCTCAAACACATCACTTCATCATTTATACTCTGGATTTAATGGTTTAACATGTATTTTGTCACACATGGATATGGCCATAAACTCACTTTCTAAATTTTAAATCTGAAACGTGGAGCATGAAACAGAACAGAGGCTCACAAGATCTATCCAAAGTGCTGTGGTAGAATCTAATTCTGTGGTTGAACCCAAAAGAGTCTAGGAAGCAATTTTAAGAGCATTCTTGCAGGTTTAAGTACCTGGTTAGTAACATGAGGCCCTCTCCTTCATATCTAGAGAATAAAGCTTCCACTAATGAGTGGTTAAAAAAGTGGTCCAAAAAACCAAAAATTATTACTTAATGAAAAAAGCAAATCTTGCTAGAATCCTGATTCAAGTCCAGCAACATTTAGATGTTTTGGATCCAGGAATATTGATTTTTAAAAAATTCTCTAAGACCTCTCTTTTAGAGCTTAGAAACAGGAATTCAGGGCCACGCTGTTTTAAACTAATAAATTCTCCTACAGAAAAAATTCTAAAACTCTTCCCTTCTTGGTTCCATCTTAAGTCAATTTCATGGTTACCCAAAGGCCCAAACCCCTGCAGATAAATCAACCCACTCCTCTCCTGTACAGAGAACAGGTCAACTGGCATAAGCTCCCTCAGCTGCCCTCTGGTCCCTCACCACATCTAAACCTGACTTCAACCATAGTCTGAGGAAGAAGAAAGGCTTCCACTTCCGCTCTGGACCTCAGTCCACCCCCGGTCCTTATTACCATGCTGCACCTTCCTCATGCTCACTCCACTCACAACCACCCTCACACTTGGCTCCACTAGCTTTCTTACCTTCTCTGAAGAAAGTCAGCTTCCCCAAACCTAACAACTTCTCAATCTACACAGGCTTTAAATGCCTTCCATCTATAGACTTTTGGGTAACCTGAACCCTACTCCTGGCCTCCAAGTCCTCAGCCACCACTTGCTCACTCATCCACTCACTCTGTCTTCTATTCCTCTAACACTTGACGGTCCGGCTTCTGCCCACAGCACTCCACAGTGTAGCAGGTAATGGTATGTGCTCTGGAGCCAGGCTGCCTCACAGGATCCAAACTCTGCTGACACTATGTTTACTTAGCCTCATAGGGTTGTTGATAAGATTTAATGGGGGAAAAAATGTGTATACATGTATGTACATAATCTCTTTGGAAAGTGCCTGGCATATACTAAGTGGTCCGATAGTCTGTTGCTCCTATTATAATAACTGGAAGCTTCCTAAAGGAATATGAAGGCCTGAATGGCTAACCACGGGGCTTCTCTACAATGACTGACACTAACCAATCCTGGCTTCCACACTGGGCTGCTGATCTTTACCTGATCCCTTCCAGATCTCCTAGGCATAAAGGTTCCTACAACTTAAAATTTATTTCTGCCTTTACATTTCCTCTCATTCATAAATCCTGAACTCACATTAGATAACTCTACCCATCTGTACCACAGAAACTTCTAAAACTGAACTCAAAGCACCCCCTAAACCTAGCACCTTTCCCACACTTCTCCCAGTTACCAGATGAAACCTCAAACATCTTTCACTTCTCCCACTTTCACGGCTTCACACCCAGTTAGTTAATGTCACTCACAGACCTGGGGTGCCCAGCACTCCCCTCTCATTCCACTCACCTACTGCATTCTCCCTCCTCCTGTTTACCTCCAGTCTCTCCAACTGTCAATGGTCTTATCCCTTCCCAGATCAAAAAATCCAGGCACTCCATAATGCTGCCCACATTACAGAATTACAACAGAAGCAATGATTACTAAACAACCATTTAATGCCAACTTCTCTAAATCTTAATTTCTTGTTAAATGAGAGGATTTAATTACATCACTGGTTCCTACTCAGGTATGGCCATCAGAATGTGTATTTTGGAGCACTGGGAAAGTTCTCCAAAATACACATGCCTAAACCCCACCCAGGGTCCAGGCTGACAGAACCAATCTTTACAAATTAAGCTCCAACAGGAGGATTTTGGAAAGGTGCCCCAGGAATTGTGGAGTGCACCGTAATGAAGAACCACTGTACAAGATGACCTCTGGTTCTAAAATTCTACTCTCCTGTAATAATGTACCCTATCCAAAGACTCCCAATGACAGAACCAAAAAGGTGAATACAGGCACCCCTTGTTTTATTGCAATTACACTTTGCAGATACTGCGGGGTTTTTTGTTTTTGTTTTACAAATTGAAGGTTTGAAGCAACCCTGCATCGAGCAAATCTATCAGCACTATTTTCCCAACAGCATTTGCTCACTTCATGTCTC